CCCTCCCGGTGGATGCCGGGGGGGGGGGGGGGCTAGGCGGTCCTCGTCCCCGAGCCCTGGCAGAGGCTGCCGTGGGGGGTGCCGGCAGGGCAGTTTTGAGGGGTTTTGCAGGGTTTTGCAGTGTGTCTGGCATTGCTTGCCGCCCTCTGGTGGAACGAGCCTTTCTGCATGGGGCTGCCTGGGCGGCGGAGCAAAGCTTCGGCTTTATTCCTGCGTCCGGAACGCAGCCCCTGCGAAGCTCAGGGGACCAGCCTGTCCCTGCCTGCCCGGCTGGCTGGGACCCAGGCAGACCGATACCCAGCTGCGGGGAAAAAGCCTTTGCGTGCGTCAGGGTAAATGTACCTGGAGGAGGCAGAGAGGTGTTTCTGGTAAGGCTGTAAGAGGAGTGAACGGTGACTGCGCTCCCCTGCGACCCAGGTCTGCTGGCCCCTCGGCTCCTGGTACCTTTTGCTTATCCTGAAGCCCCCTTAGAGCCCTGTCTGGTTCAGACACACTCTTTTCTGGTAAAATGGTTTTAGCGTTCAGTGTGTGCTCGCTGTTTCCCAGGTGGGCTTTAGTCAAGTATTATAGGGTGCTGGGGGTGTGATTGATGTCCTCGCTGAGGTCTTTCTTATTTTCCTGGCAAAGCTTTCTTGAAGGGTTTGAACCTGCCAATAGACATGCCTAATCCCTGGATGCTGGAGTCTGGTTTGCAGACTTGCCAGCCAGAGTGAATCTCCTGCAAGAATCCTGGGCAAAATCCTGGCTTGTGCCAGCTCTCGGAGCAAACTCAGGACCTGGGGAGCCCGTGGGCCTCTGTTTTTCTCCCTGACTGCGTGGGCTGAGAGGCTGAGCATCACTGGGGTAAGAGCGGGAGTGCTGGAACGACTGTGTGCCACCTCCTGGCACGGCCTTCGCTCTCGAGGACGCGGGCAGCTTGTAGCACCAGCAACCCAGATCTGTGGCGTAGGATCCTTCTCCGGTCTCATCGTGGCGGCGGAGAGAGGAGGGAAATGAGGGAAAGACGGAAAGTCAAGTCCAAAGCCATTGTAGCGCCAAAAGCCTGGAAAAAAACTTATCTCCAATCTCCCTTTTTAAAAATTTTTTAATAAAGCCTTTTGTTTTTGCAGTAATCTCATCCTCTTGCCGGCCCAGTATTTTCCAGGCTCTCTCCCACCCCTCTCCCTGCGGCTCGGGGGAGCTGCGCTGGTGTGTACGTACAGCAGAAGGTGATCACACACTGTGCGGATTTTACTGCTCCCGCGAGGGACGTTTTCTGGGGCTGTTTTTCCGATTATTTCACTGAATCCTCCCGTAAACCCGATCTAGCCAGGGTCCCCGTTCTCCCCCTACCCCCACTCCGAGTGGTGCGCGGGGGGAGAGAGAATCTCTTTTCCAGGGAAGGATCTGTAGCTTATTCGGCACCCACACAGCAGGTCAGCGAGTGGGCGAAGTCTGATGTTCGGTGCTGTCTGATTACCCGTGTCTGAGGAGGGAATTAATTCCTACCCGAGGCATGCCCCGTGGGTTGTCTCTCTGGCGGGAGCAGAACGTATGGTCCGTGCGTCCTGCCCGCTGCAGGTTCTGGCATGGAAAAAAATTTGGGATAACCCAAGCAATAGAGGCTGCATTCAGCTCCCTGCGAGTGAGGTTGGTCCCACCACTCCTGGTGGGTAACCTCAGTTGGACGCGTCTGGCATGGCGTGTGATACATGTGATGGTGGGAGTCTCTTCATCACGGTGACGTTGCCACCTTGGGGGCTCAGTCTGCAGCCCGTTCCTGCCCTGTTCTCTACCCAGGTCTCTTCCAAAGGCATTTGGGGTTCAGAGTGGCTCCAAATGTGCCCATCACTTTGAAACCCACAAGCAAGTTCAGATTATGCGGATGAGGTGGTTGTGTGCTTTACCCAGTCTCAAACACTTTGTCCGGCAGCTCGAGAGTCCTGAGTGCAAACGTGGTGGAGCCCGTCGGTAGGTAGGACCTTTGCTGAAGTTCAGTGCTGGGAAGAGCCCGCTCTTGTGATAGCGTTGTGGTAGGCACCAGAAACCCCCGTGCACTTGTCCTGCCAGATAAAAGAGAATGGTGCTGCTGGGTCTGTCCTTACTTGAGAGCGCAGGCTCTAGGATCTATTGGGGATCTGCTGGAGGGCAGATCTGCCATTCAGAGAGACCTTGACGGGCTGGAGAAAATGACTGACAGGCACCTTGTGAGGTTCAAGGATGAAGAATGTGAAGTCCTGCACTTGGAACAGAATAACCCCGTGCAACAAGGCAGGCAGGGGCTGAACGGCCAGGGAGCAGCTCTGGAGCAAAGGACCTGGGGGTCCTGGGGACAGCCTGGGAGTCAGCAGGTGTCCTGAACAACACCGACCGACCACATCTCGGGCTGTACTGGCAGGAGCACGGCCGGCAGGGCCAGGGATGGGGTCCTTCGCCTCTCCTTGGCGCTTGAGACCCAGCCGGGCTTGGGGTCCAGGCTGGGGCTCCCCAGTACAACACAGTGACAGACAGAAATGAGTCCAGCGGAGGGCACCGAGGTGGTCGGGGGTGGAGCATGGGACGCGAGGAGGGTCTGCGAGCTGGCTTCTTCAGCCGGGAGAAGGGACAAAGGGGGATCCCTTTGCTGTCTGCAGCTGCGTGAGGGAGTGCGGAGGAGATGGAGCCAGGCTCTCGTGATGCCTAGGGATGGGATGAGAGGCAACGGGAACAAGGTGCAGCAAGGGAAATTCTGGTTGAACGTAAGGCGTGTTCTTGCCCACGGGAGTTGTGCAGCCCTGGAACAGGACCCAGAGAGGTGCCAAGATCTCCATCCTTGGAAATACTCAACACTTGAGCAGATAAGGTCCCGAGCATCCTGATCCAACTTCGAAGCTGGCTCCGCTTTTGAGCGGGAGGTTGGATTAGGGACCTTCAGAGGTCCTTTCCAGCATAAATTTTTCTGTTTCCACGACCTGAGTTTGTGTGGTTTCTGATGCACTCCTTACCTCCTGAGCCTGTACTCGCACTAGCACCTCATCCTTGGCTGTATGTTCTGACTGGTGCTCGGAGGAGGCAGTGTTGCTGGGAAATCCTTTCTCCATTCCGCCTGTCCTTGCAGGTTGGGTTGTTGCAACCTCTGCCCCGGTTGTGTCTTTGCGTGGTCTCAGTGGCATTGAGCTGCAGGGGAAAAGAGAGACAGAGGGTCTTGAAATAACTCTGGAAGATGGCTGGGATATGGAAGCTGCAGAGAATAATTTTGGGCCCAATGAGTGAGAATGTAATTCTTGTGCGAGCTGAGCAGCTCTCTGGGAGCAACCTGTCCTCAGAAGAGAGGTGATTGACTTTCTCTCTTTGCGGTCCCAGGTGAACGTAAGTGCACGCTGCTTAATGAGCCCTTTCCTTCCTTCCTTCCTTCCCCTGTAATGTGGTGTCCCAGAGGATCTAAGAGTGAGATGCTGTACTGCACAGTGCTGTCGAGGTTGGGGCACGAAGTGCTCTGTGGTGATCTTAGACCTGGCAGCAGACTAGACATTGGTGGCAGCTTCAGATTTCATTGCCCAGCCAAGGTTTCTGCTGTAGTGAACACAAAAATGCAAAGGTTCACGTCATGGGATCTTACTAAGCTAATTTTTTGTGTCTTTCAGGCCCAAGGGGCTCCCAGGAAGAGCAAAATCTTGGAGGATGATTCGTCATTGCAGGAAAACGCGGGTCTGCTTGCTCAGAATGAATATGAAGAAGACAGCTCGGATGAAGAGGTAGGACCCATTGCAACTTTTTCTTTTATACGTGGATACGAGCTAGAGGTGAAGTATTTCCCTCTGCGTGCTGCCTTCTCTGCGAACTCGGGGGAGGGGATGTGGTCAAGCAACGTTGTCCCTGAAAGAGAATCGCCCAGACTGCTCTTTGCTGCTAGCGCATAGCAGGCCAGAGGCACCAAGTCAGGGCTCTTACGGAGACTCTTGGTGAGGGTACGTTGCTCAGGTGCGTCGCTTGGAGCATCTGGGGCAGCCGAAAGGAGCGTCCCATCCACCTTGGAAAGGACAGTGCTTCCCGTATGGGAAGAACCTCCCTTCCACCCTTCCTGGAAGTCCTTCCAACAAGCGCTGTCTTTGCCCAGCCAGAGCTGGGGCTTTCGGCCCAGGGTCAGGAGAGGGTTTCTTCAGCCGCTTAAAAGGTGACTGAGCCTCTCTTGTGGCCCTTGGGATCTGTTCAGGGATCTGCCCTGCTCTCGGAGGGAACCTCTCCGAGTTTCGTGCATCGGACAAGCTTGGAAACTGCTTGCGTGGAAGATAGCAGGATCTCAGCAGTAAAATGCCCCTAGGGTTTGGTTGTTCCAGAGAAACTCCATTGCCTTTCTTAATTGTCTGCTAAATCAATTAGCGCGATTGGCGTCAAATCAGCTGTTTCAGTAGAGCCCTGGGGTCGGGATGGAGGGATTGCCAAGGGCTGTGGGGGCGTTTGGATCTGGCCCTTATTGCTGGGATTTAGGTTCACCTGAAAGGGTACTGGGTAGCCTCATACATGACTTGGACAAACGCTTGGAGAAGCCTCCTGGGCGCCGGTTAGGTGGAATGTTTCAGGCTGTCTCCTGCTTAACCGCTGACAAGTTACAGAGCACAGAAAATCCTGTGTGACCAGGCAGGTGAAGAGCCAGCCGGTGCCTGCTGCGCGCTGCAAGCGCTCTGAGCGAGGAGCTCCGACAGCTCGCTCGCGTGGGGCACCTGGCCGGCAAGGAACGGCCGTGGGTACGGGGGGGACGTCGGGAGTAACGGCAGCGTAGCCCCCGGGGCTTGGGACGGGAGTTTTCTGAGCGGGGATGTGAGTGGGACTCTTGGCTGCACACCCAGCTTCAGGAGAGCTCTTTGGCATCACCGACAGTTCAAAGGGTCTAGGCTTGTGCTTACTGGTGCTTTGAGGATTGCATCTGTTCCTGTTCCAGTCCCAGCGGAGCGGAGGGGGAAGATTGGGTGCCTGCCGGCCTTTCTGGTCCAGCGAGGGCCCGAAAGGTTAGATGTTAGAGGCCCACCTGGGCTAGCGCTGGAGCTGCCGGCAGTCCCTGCCCCCGGGTCTGGAATAGAGATTTAGAGAGAGGGGAAATATATGACTATAGAAAACATACACTTGTGTAATGTCTCCAGCATAACCTAGGAAAAAAACCCTTTCATGCAGGAATTCAAGGTCTCTTTCTCCCCAGCTGGTCCTGCTTCAGGGCCCCGGTGGGGGGAGCGCTGATTCAGAACCTGTTGACATCAGAGCAGCTTCCAGTGGCTTTGTTCCTTGTTCCCCGTTCCCAGCCCCCTGCCCTCCCTCTGTAATTGTATTTATCTCTCTTCCATAAGAACCCTGATGCTTCTGCTTCCTGCGGCTGGGATGCGCACACTGGGTGCTTTGTGCTCGCCTCCACGAGGAGCATCGCCCAGCGCTTGTCTGTTGCTTTGTGTCTCGGTGGCCCAGAAGCGCTGGGAGGCGAGGGCAGCATCCCCCGTTCAGGCAGGGGCAGCTCGGACGAGAGTAGGGCCAAGAAAACACTTTCTTGCTGCGAATAGGATCTGTGTCTTTTTATTTTTCATTGTCTCTGTTCTTGTGTTGAGACCTAGCTTGCATCGCAGCCTCATCCCAATTAATGTGTAGCCACGTCCTAATTAAAGTCTTCGTGAAATGCAACGCTTTAGCGCGTTGCTCTTTAGAGGGCACTTCAGACATGTCCGTCCTCTGGGTTGCTGGTGCCGGCTGTTCTCCCACAGCCCGCGGTTTCGGTCAGCCTGGCCCGGGGTGGGAACCGCGGCAGCCGGTTTCAGTGCCGGGTGTCGCTTCGTTACTCCCACACTCGTCCCTTGACCGGAGGCGGCTGGTCCGCGGGCCGGCTGTGTGTCGGGGGTTGGCTAGGTGCAGAACTGGGCTTCGGAGGGTGCACAGCGTGCCGCCTGCGTCCTCCCACCCCTGCTGACTGTGCCGCCAGCCTCACACAGGTGTGTGGCTTCACCGCCTTTAAGTGAGCCAGCAAAAGGCAGTATTTGGCGATGGGACTGTGGGCTTGGGGTGGAGGGTCCAGATCCGCCCTTCTCTGAAAGGCAATGTGATCCCTCTGGATGTCCCAGCCCAGGGATTAGCTGTGTGGTGCAGCCTGAACCTGGCACCTTGAGAGCAGAGCGGGGAGAGCACGTGGAAGCTGGAGCTGGTGTGGCCGCAGCACCCCCTTTCCTGCCAGATTGGGGGTCCCAGCCTTCGTCCGTGCATCGGGGCAGCCAGCCAGGGTGGGGGGGCCCTGCCGGGGCACGGCACAGAGCTGCAGGAGCAGATCGTCCCTGGGCTCTGGTCATTGCGGGGGGCTCTGGAGGAACACACAAGAAAATTTGGCAGCCTCTGGGTAGAGATTAAGCCTTGTGCTCCCTGACTATATCTACCTCCACGATAATTATCTCCGACTTGTTATCTTTAATGGTAGCAGCTCTGAATGTTATTGATAGGCAGTAACCCGCTTGTGCGTGTTCACACCGCGGCATTCAGCAGCAGCGAGCTCCAGCAGTTGGGTGCTGCTGTGGGAAGGTGCCCCTGTCCCCTTTGGCTCCTTCCCCTGCTGCTCTCCCCACCGGTCACACTGGTGGGTGCTGCTCAGCGCAGACCCCAGCCAGGAGCACCCTGGGTACAGCTCAGGGTGCTCCCCGATTCCCCTTTGCCTGGCTTCGTCTGCAAACCTCTAACCGGGTGCCTGCGTCCGCAGCTGACCGTGCAGCCTGCCCTATCGCTCCGCTCCCAGCAGCGCCTGCAGGATTTCTCCCTAAACCAGCGGCAGTTTGGGAACGTGCCACCGCTGGCACGGCCGGTGCCCCGGGGCGCGCCGCCGCTGTGCCGTCACTCACCCGCCAGCGGCTGGCTCTGAGTTTGCGCACTCTCCCCTCCGCCTGTGCGTGGGCTTCGGAGCTCTTTAATAAAGAATAATAGCTCAGACCTGCTATGCCCCTGTGTTTAGCACAGACTAAATTTCTTCTAGCTGTGCTCCTGCTCACTTGGCAGCTGCCGGCGCTCAGGCTGGCCGGGCGCCCAGGCCGGTCTCTGCCGTGTGCTCTGAGAAGAGACACAACAAAATAAATTGGTTTCCTGGCCGGGGCGGGTAGGGGAGCCCGTGTCGCACGCAGGGCCCTTTCCCGGTGCCCGGCTGGCAGGGTCCCCGCGCGGGGCGGCACGGGGCCCCCGGTGCATGCGGGCTGGCCGCAGTGCCGGTGCTGCCAGGGAGCCGGTCCCCGTGCCAGGCCCCCCAGTGATCCCTTCGGTGCTCGCCGCGCAGTCCGAGCGTCCCTTCCTCTCGGCCGCTCGGAGATGAATGGCCGTGAGCTGCAGAGGCTGTCAGGGCCTCGCTGGGAGGAAGCAGTTTGGGGCTTTTGTTTGGTTCTGTTTCCTCCCGCAATGACTATTCCATATGTCAGTGGATAATGAATGAAGGCGCGTTGAGTGCTCCTCGGTGAGCCGGCGGCTGTTGCAAAC